CGTCAAATCACAATAAAATAGTAAGATAAGATAATTAAAATTATTAAAATATCATCTTATGTTCCATATCGAGCATTCGATTTACATCGGAACATTCACAACACATCTGAACCGATTGCTATTTCATATATGACTGGTAAAACATCAAAACACCACGTCAACAATAATGTTATATTAATAATATCTAGACACAACTTCCAAAAAATATACTGAGAAAGATGATAAAAGTATAAAATTGTAAAAACTATAATTAATTGTAATTTGAGTTTAAAAGTTTATAATTTAGACCTGATGACGGTTTGATAAACCGAAACATGTTGTGAATGTTCCGATGTACATCGAATGCTCGATATGGAACATAGGATGATATTTTAATCATTTTAATTATCTTATCTTACTATTTTATTGTGATTTGACGGTAAACAAATATAATAATTATTTTAGCTGAAATATGTTATAAAATTTGTACATTTTAGAGTATCAACATATCGTGCAAACACCATATCTATACAAGATCACATACATTGCAGGCGTATCCAAATCTATTTTCATTAAAATGCTTATGAAAATATTCTGTTGCATTGTCATACCTTGGTTGCGCGATTCTTGTAGGGACGCTTGTAGTTGCTAATGATGTGGAATCATTAACTTGAAGTAATTGCTTCTTACGATTTCTGTATTCCGTCATACATTCAGCATTATTTTTTGGTATTTTTGTGGGACCTTCAGGTTCATTATCTAATACTTCTATTTCTAACGTTTTCTGTACTGTCTTAGATATTCTGCATTACGGACTCTTTTAGTTTCAATGTCTTCCGTCTTGTTATCTCTGCATAGTATGACGCAACAAACTAACTCAAAAACAAATTATTTAATAATTCTTGTATAAGATAAGTTTTTACCAGCACAAAATTATCTACTCCACTTCGCAATTTTTCTACAATCGATTCACAGCTGAGCTCTTTCCGCAATAACGAAAGCGGATAACACAACATTGCAGAGTAAACAGATGACGTTTCCTAGGTAACATAACAATGCATACAAGCTGACTATTGTAGTCAGTCCATATTTACAAATTGTTGATATTTCCTAGGTAACCATCTTACACATTTTTCATTATACATTTTTTCCGGAATGACACTGACCCTTCCATATAGACGTATTTACGTCAATAATGTATTTTGTTGTGTGAATAAATAATGTATTCTTTGGGTAAATAAATAATGTAAATGTATACATTAATGTATAAATAAAATTTTATTTCAGTAAAAATATACTTCTACAGTTAAAGGGTTGCTCTAGAGTCCTTTTCGTTCTTTCTCGATAATTTCGCGTTTTTCGCCTATCGGTTTCTGTCGATATTTAATACTTCGTTTTTCAGCGTGTTTTTTGACGTAAATACGTCTATAAGGAAGGGTCATTCGGCAAAAAAGTGGAACGAAAAAGTGTAACCTGGTTACCTAGGAAACGTCGTGTTTACTCGGCATTGTTGTTACCTATAAAACATTTCATTACATTACCTTACCTTACAATACATTACATTCAGCTACCACAGACCTCTCTTAAGCCTAACTAATTCAAGTTAAATAAGCAATGTCTTACTCAAACTTTAATCGATTGTAAAGCATGTATAAAGGAAATATTTAGAATAAAGCCAATATATAAACTTCTTTTCCGTAAAGACGTATTTACGTCAAATTCTCCGGAGCCGTGGTTCCACTTAGAAGCTTTAACAGATGGTAACAGATCCAGTTTTTTTACGTGTGTTCTTAATATGGTCTCGTTTATCAATGTAAGTCTTCTTTCCCTTTTCTTTATTTGTTAAATAGTTCTGATGTTTTAGTTCTTTACGTCGCTGTTCAGAGGCCAACTCTTCTTGGTCAGTCAACGTTTTACGTCCAGCCCCACCCTTGCAAATCTTCGTCTTAAAATCGATCATAAAGTCAGTTTTCGTAATCGTAATATATGGAATGAGTATTAGTACTATGAGTTTACCTTCTTGTACTTCAAATAGTTGATAACCTCTAAACATAAATCCGCGTGGAACTCTGTTGTGTTTGTTGACTGATTTAGTTCAAATCTCGTTCTAGGATACGTTTTAATTGACAGTAGCTTATCCTCCAATAACGTAACATTAAAACAAATCACTGTTGATTATAAAAAAGTTGTGATGAACGTCGGGACAAATCTACACTTAATTAAAAGATTCGATGTGTATTAAAAGAGGTATTACAGTGAGAGAGGCGTTAAAGTCGTGACTGTTCTGCCTCCTGTAGGGAATAAAATGAACTGAAGTTGCCGAGTAAACAAATGAGCGAGTGGATTGCGCCTTTGTTTGTATAAATAAATGTTTGTAGAACCAAAACCATTTGTGATATGTGAAATCTGAAAACAGATATGGAAAGCTCAAGAGGTAATACGTATTTCGTACGCAATATGTCCGATCCATCTCTTACGGTTTTCGAGAGGCGGGCGCCTAACGCGCCAGATGCATTGAAAATTGTACATATTGGTTCATTAAAATTACAATAAATGCATAAACAATTACAATTACCTCAAAATACATTACAGATTCTTAAAGGTCTTTATTTACTGATCATCTTACATATAGGTTACATTACCCTCACTCTCACCATTCATGAGAAATGAACGTTTAAATGTGACTCGGCTATAGCTAACGCTGTTTTGATGACGTCATTTCTTGACACCGACGGGAAATAACGTATTTTAGTATTAGAGAAAATAAAAGAAAAGTCAGCACTCGATTATCGTGCTGTTAAACAGCCTTCATTGCGACTGGTAGGCCTTGTAACCTCTACTTGTGTTTTCATATCAAACTCCCTGTGTTATCTTTACAGTAAGACTGACAATTATAATGCTATGGTGCATTGAATGTTTACATGAAAGTGCATTTCGAATTCTGTAAACTCCTAACTGAAATATTCAACAATGGCATTTATTTGATTCCTCTGGCTGGTCACACATTGTTGAAATTCTTAACATTTTGTTAAAACTAGAGCAAAACGCTCCTTTCGTCTATCAAGGTCATTCGGCAAAAAAGTGTAACGAAGACTGGTCACAAAAATGTCTAAGATCAATATCAACAAATCGACAACAATGGTTACCTAGGAAACGTCATCTGTTTACTCGGCATACAATGAAAGGGGGGGGGTAAAAAACTTGACACTTGCGTTTTAAAATCTTGAGTAAGAGACTAAACTAACCCCCCTTTACTTTGTTGGTATTGGTACTTCAAGTAGTTGACAACGCCAACTTCTGGAGCAGTGATAATGCGACTGTATTGGTAGTTTATCTCGTCGTTGGCATACAAACACAACAATGGCGAGTAAACAACCAATAAAAATAGAATACAACAATGTCGAGTAAACAAATGTTTGTTTGATGACGTCATTTTGTTTTGGCTACAAATAGGTTGACAACGACAGACACTGGACAGATTCAGGGCACAACAATGAACAGACACCTTGGTCACGTGCCATGTAGTCAGCGTTTTTACCAATGTTCCCATCAGCCGTGAAGATGTCATGCAACAATCAGATGTCTGTGTCAAAACCACGTATCTCCAGGTGTAAGATTTTATCACGAAAACGACGATATGACCATGGGAAATTATCTTTCTCCAGTTGTCAGCCGTGTTTTGAAGACATGGCTTTGAACTCGGCGTTACATGAAACTGCTACGTGGCTCTGGTACGTGGAAGAGCCATCTCTCGTGTGATCACAAGGGCGTCTTTCGCATAATTTGATTATTATGGAAACCGAATTATAAAACTGGCTTTCATTTCTTACTCTCCTTGTTTATAGAAATCGAAAGATCGTGATCTAGAGGTGTTATGCTACAGGTTAAACCTCTCGACAGGACGGATGCCACTGGGTGGGGAGAGCAGAACTTTTTAACTGTTATAAATAAAACACCAAATACTAACCTACAATATAATTAAACAAATTTAGATATAAACTTTGCTATGTCCTTCTCACACGTCACCTAATAGCATTCGCACTCACCCCAATTGCATATCCCGACGAGCAATGGTCAGAACTTAACCGCGACAGACACAGATTCCACTTGTAACTCCTGCCCTAATAATAGAAGCAAGTAAATAAATTCGCATCTTTTGTAAACATTCTAGTGACCTTCTCATTGGTCCAAATTGTTTGTTCCACATGTTTAATCCAAACATGAAACATGTTTGTTTTATTCAACCGTAAACTAAGAACTTTGAACGCTGGTGGATGCAATAGTGACATCACGCTGCATCTTCAACAGAATCCATGTTGTCATCCCGTGCTTTATACTACATGTTTGATTACTATAATTACTTTAACAATATTAATAATAAGTTCAGTCATAACAGTAGATCTTATTTATCAATGGTGGGTTTCAGGTCAATGAGAAATTTCTCGATTGTCGTTGTTGTAAAATGCGCTGTACTCTATAAGTTGAACCTTCCTCATTAATAATCATGTGTTTATTCTTCTGACACTTCATTATAGACATTTAAATAAACCAGGCCAGATTGTGGAGATAAATTATAGTAAGATGCAAGTCTCGTACTCTCTTAACCTAAGGATGGCATTTGACCCCAGGAAATGCCAATGGTCACATGATCTGTCTGGAAGCTGTTGCCTCATCTCCAGCACCACAATATGACTATTCATTTGAATCTTAATATAAACCACTATCTGAACTGAAGGGGTTACATTTTGTCACTGCTGCTCGCTGTAAAGTCATTCTGATCTTTGAATAAACTCTACGTGGATTTGGATATTTGACGTCGCTGATTCACCTCCAGGCTTCCTGCGTGAGGAACTTAGATTCCTCACCTTACCTTCTAGTTATCCCAACAAATAGATAACTGATCAGGAACTCTACTACTATAACAACTATTATTATTTTATTTAGTGTTCTGTGTGACGACAGGTCCATATGAACAGGATCCTTCCATCCTTTTCTCGGACTGGGACCTGTTCATATACGTTCTTGGCAGATGATCCAGAAGTGGTTTGCCATTGCCTTCTTCTGTGTGTGAATGGAGTAATTGTTGGGATGCCACGGAGGAAAACTCCGTGTTGCCTAGACCACGGCCTTGCCCAACACAAGTTATAAATTAGGGCACCGCCGGGAATCGAACCCGAGACCCCAGGATTACAAGGCCAGCGTTCTAACCGCTAGACCACCGTAGCGGTATAATAACTATTACCAAAAAACATTATATTGTCATCGCATTTTAATGACGCTAGTGTAGAGGCTTAAAACTAGCAAAGCCTGGAGGGGGCAAAGACGTTTCGTCTGTTCTTTTTTCTACCCGATGATGAAAGCAAAACTCAGCTGCCGAAACATGATTTTATAATGTTTAGACGATGGATATAGTACAAATAATTATTTGGCACAATGACAAGACTCTTAATTTTTGATGTAAACACGTCTATATTTTAGGGTCAGTGTTATTCGGCAAAAAGTGGAACGAAAAAGTGGAACAATGGTTTATCAACAAATAAACAACAATGTTTACCTAAGGAACATCCATTTACTCGGCATTTTTGTTACCTAGAAAACGTCATCTGTTTACTCAGCATTGTTGTTACCTATAAAACATTACCTTACATTACATTCAGCTACCACAGACCCATCTTAAGCGTAACTAATTTATGTTAAATAAGCAAAGTCTTAATCAAACTTTACTCAATTGTAAAGCTAAAAAGGTCTGATGTGAAGAAACTCAGTGATGTAGAAGTTAAGAGAAATTACCGGGTGGAAATCTCCAATAGATTTCTTTTTAACAAGCAGTGGTATTCAACCTGGGGTACGCGCACCCCCGGGGGTACG